ATTGACGCGAGCAAGAACGAGGAGGACGAAGGGTGAGCGCTGGCCCGGGTCCGTGTCGTGGGGCCGGGTGTTCGTGCCCGTGTGTGCTGCCCTGTTCCTTCTGTCACCCCGGCGGCGCTCCTCCTCCAGCGGCTGCCTTAGCTCCCCTTTTCCCGCGTCCTTCGAACCACTTCCTGCCGTGCCCGTGGCGGGGCCGGGGACCCCCCGCCCGCTGTTTGGGAGATGCCTTTACACGCGCGCGCGCGCCCCCCCCCCCCCCCCAAAGGCTCGGGTTTGCTGCCCGTGTAGAGGTGGCTGCCCGAGCTGTAGTGAAGGTGGGGAGCGCGGGGGCGGTGTTGGCCGGGCCTGGCTTGTCATCTTAGGCCGTATCTTAGGGGGACCCTCCCGGGCTGCCGGTGCTGGGGGGTTGTCTAAGTGGTCCTGTGCCGGGTGGCAGAGGGAGACTGTATAGTAAACAATGGCATGTTGCAGGTAGCAGCCGCTTTTTTCCTAGCGTGTGGCGGGGGAAGCCCTGTTGGGCAGGGGGAAGGCCTGGGTTGTTGCTTAGTTGCTGCTCCTGTAGTGGCGGGAAAGTTCCTGGAACCTGCTGTTGTAGAGGAGACCTCTGGGGTGGGGCTAGTCTGCAGCTAACAGCCTGGGACCAGTGTGCCCTAGGTCAGGACCTGGATCCTAGGGGAGCCTGCTTAGTAGCTGTACTGGACTCCAGGTTACCGGCATCCCTTTATTTTTCTGGCCCATGCTGTGGTGTTAATGTAGCTTGCTGTCAGGTGGACTTCAGTGTGCCAGCAACTGCTTCTGGTCCTCTGTCAGGAAAGTTCTCTGCTCAGGTTGCTACTACTTCAAAGCCTGGTTTTTACACAGCTTGCTAGGACTCCTTTTAATGGTAAAGGGAATCTGCTCCAAAAGGGCTGGGTTCTTTTAAAGCTTTATTGTTGCCTGTAACAGTAGTAAGGTTCCAGAAACTTCAACCAGAAAATAACACCAACAGCAAAATTCCTAGTAATAGTCTCTGATTCTCTTCCTTCTCAGGATGAAATGGCTCTTTACAGTTTTGCTTTTGTGTTAACTGTTTTATTTTTGTTAAGCTTAATGCTACTGCACTCTTTTTTCATTTGCTTCTGCTTTACTTTGTTGACCAAAACAAGAATATACTACTTGTTAGCTTTGCTGACAACCCAGCCAAAACGGTGTGATGGAATCTTTCTCCTGCTGTATAAACAGAGTTGCTCACAAGTTCTTTGCAGCACCCTACTGGTGGGTTATGGTGCATGAGTCTGAATGCACCTTGTTTACTTTGAGTCCAAATTTATTTTGTGGGGCTTGCATTTTAATATAAATTGAGCTTTTACCTGTTGTTCTTCTTACACATTATTTTTCTGTATCTTTGAAAGACAGTGTATCTAGATCCCCACTAGTTATTCCAAAAAGTTTAGCCTACAGACTTCTAAGTTAAATACCTTTTAAAATACTATTCAAAAGTGCTTAAACTTGACATTTTTAAATTTTTCTTATATTGAGAATAGGATTAGAAATGGGTTAGCAATGCACAAATTAGGAAAAAAAATGTGGTTAATGTAGATATTCCATTATATTCTGTTTGATAGGCAGTAACTTACCTGATTTCCAGAGTTTTGACTTCTGGGTTGTTCTTATTTAGTGATGACTGCTCAGCGACTTTGAAAATCTGGCTGCTTCTATTTAGGAGTTTGGGATAGTCAGACAGTGCAGTTTGGAGACTTTAGTGGCTTTGGATGGTCTGACAGGTACAATTTACTGGAGCTGATGTAAACTCAGAAAACTACAGCAGCCTTTGGTTTTGGAGCTGTATTACTGTGTGCTACTACAGTGAGCCCATTTCTAGCAGTAGGAGGTATTATTGAGATGTATCCCTGAGCTGTGATCTTCCATTCCGCTGTTACTGTTTTAGATTTGCCATGTTACTGTTTTAGACTTCTACCCTGTAATACTGTGGACTGTTTGCTAGCTTCACTTTATGGTTGCTGTTGGCTCTTCAGTTCTGACTTGTTTAGACACTTCAGCATCTGTGCCTTATAGGTAGTGATGATGACTACACAGTGTTAGTATATTTAAAAAAAAAACAATAATCCCAATGCCTGGTTAAAAACTTTAATTTTGATCAGTTACTTTTATTAGTTCTCTAATTGTCCAAATTCTTCCCTCTTCCTTGTGAGACAAGTCCATGGCAAGAAGAAGGGTTAAATATTTTTAATTCTAAACGATCAAAGCCTTTGATGATAGGACATTCAGAAGAGTAGAGTGGGGGTGACATCTGAGTGGTTTAGGCTACTGTCAGCCATAAGTCCCCTGAACAATTCTTGATGATTAGTGCTTAAATCTGAATCTAATAGGATTGACTGCAAAACTATAAAATTTGTGTATTAGATGCTGCATGTAGGATTAAGCATGTAAATGACAGCATCTTTTTATAATTCTTTTTATAATCTGTGATTATGTAACTACAGTGTAGGAAGGCTTTTTAGAACACAACATATTATTGTTTTTCCACAAATATAAAAGGGAAAGATGAAGTGCCAACTCAGTGTTGCTAAAGGGTATCATGCTGTGCTGCTGACTCTTTTTTTTTTTTTGGTTTCATTTTTCCAGTTTTGAGTCCAACGAAATTAGGTTCTTTCAAAGTTCACTTTTTATTTTAAATTCCCTTGAAAAATGTGTCTTAGTGAATTTGTTGTGGAAAAAGTTGTCTTGGATAACTGCTTAACTTAAGCATGTCCTGTAAAGTCAGCTCTTAATTTTCTGAAGACATCAGACAATGCTTGATATGAAGCAAGCTAAAGCTTTGTATATAAATTAAGAAACACACCACTGTTGACTCTCTTCATAGCAGTAAAAGCTTAATCAAATTTACATCACAAGCATGATTTTACCTGTGGTTAGTAACTTAAATTTAACTTGAATTCATCACTGATTTGCCAATAGGTATGCTATATTTCTTTAAAGTCTCTCTCCAACTAGCCATTGAAACCAAGTGGTACTAAAGTATCTTAAGGAAAATAAGTGTACTTTCTAAAAATACTGAATTTCTTGATCTTTTCAAATTAAGCACTTCCTGACTTTAGGCTTCTAGTACAGTTGCCAGGACCTTGTTCAACACCTTTTGTACACAACACATTAAGTCAGGATTCATGGTGGTGGAGTCATTGATGTTGGCAGTCTCCAGTGTTGTGAAACAGAAGTAATGTATTTTTCTCTTAAAGCAGTGGTGTTCCACCTTCGAGCCCTACGGGTGTGGGATTGGTCTGTGGGTGTGATCTAGCGCACTGGCCCAGCTCCACATGCCAGTGTGATCTGCTACAGCAGACTGCGTCATTTGCCTGTAGGGCTCCTTATAGGTCTGGAAACTTGGCAGCAAGGGAACAGCAATTAATAGATGTGCACCGATAAAGACTGTTTTTTTAGCCAGTATCGGTAGCTGATTCTTAAGCGACCATATTGGCTGATGTCAATCCAATAACCAATATTTAGTAATGATGCAAGGCATTTTAAAGTACTGACAATTTTTTTTTTTCTTTTGGCTGTACTTTAGCAGCCTCCTGCATCACTGTATTGGTGTCCTGGCCCTTAAAAATGGCAGTGGGGGTGTTTTGAATTAAAGCTCACCAAATGAGCTTTAGTTCAAGAGCTGTTGCCACCTTTAAGTGCAGGGACGCTTTGAAGTGGAGCAGAGCCCAGTGGGAGGAGGGTGGATGCCAGCTGCCCACTATGGGCTTGGGGATCTCTGTCCTGTTGCCTTTGCCCTGGGAACTGTGCTCCAGCTGCATGCCTCCTGTCTGCCCAGCAGCTGAGTGCACAAATTGCCACCCTTACTGCAGCCAGGTGGTCAGAGGGTGCTTGGCAGCCTCCCACTGTAAGGGGTCTCAATCTTACCCCCTCTCCCCCAACTCCCTTTCCCCTCCATAGACTTACTGCAGGGAGCTGTTGTCCATGCTGCCTGGCTGTATTCTTGGCCGCGTGCATGCCAGGCAATATGAAGAACATAGCTTGCTCTGCACTGCTCGCTCCCAGCAGCCCCAAATAGGACCCCTTGCAGATGAGAATGCTGTAAAGAGAAACCTGCCAATTTGTGAGGGCACATAGGCATCCGGGGGCCCTGGCCAAAAGGCATAATTATTGATAAACATTGGCTACAATGGCCAAAAAAAAGCTGATGGCTGACAATGTCACTTCCCTCTTATAGGTGCTGATCCAATGGGCAGCTGATATATGTGCACACCCCTAGAAGTTAATGCTGCCACTGCTCTCCTGCTACCAAACTTCTGGGCCTGTAGAAAGAGCTGTAGTCTAGATAACATGGTTTGAGGGCTGAATATGGTCCACTGTTCTACAGGGTCAGCAAACCATAGCTCGGGGTTTTCAGTTAAGTTACGATTTCGTAATCTAAAATGCATTGGGGTGCTAGGGTATGGCGGGAAGACTCGGTGCTTAGAGCAGAGGAGAGGCTCAGTGGATGAAGGTTATTTCAGTGCTACAGGTCTTACTTGAAAGCCTTCCTGTTCTGCAGTAGCTTGTATAATACCTGAAAACAGAGAGCAATATTTAAAACCATAATTTTTTCCTTTAAAAATTCAACTTAAAAATTTTACTTGTAATTATTTTTTCACTTGGTTTGGGATTTTTTATTAAAGTTCTCGCTCCTGTATTTCTGCTGATGAATGCCTACTTGGTTAAGGATAACTATCTTGTGGATGAGGTTTTAAAATCATAGAAAATCAGTGGTGGAAGGGACCTCAGGAGGTCATCTAATCTAACCCCCTGCAGGACCAGCCCCAACTAGATCATCACAGCCAAGGCTTTGTCTAGTCAGGTTTTAAAAGCCTCCAAGGATGGAGATTCCACCACCTAAGTAACCCACTGTTTTATTACCCTCCTAGTGAGAGTTTTTCCTAATATTCAACTTACACTTTCTGTGCTGTAACTTGAGACCATTGCTCCTTTTTCTGTTATCTGCCACCACTGAAAACAGTCTAGTTCCATCCTCTTCAGAATCACCCTTCACATATAGTTGAAGGCTGTTATTAACACCCCCCCCAACCAGTCCTTTTCTTCTCCAGACTAAATAAACCCTGTTCCTTCAGCCTGTCTTCAGGTGTGCCGCAGCCCTCTAAGCATTTTTGCCCTCTGCTGGACTCTCCAATTTGTCTACATCTCTTCTGTAGTGGAGGGCCCAAAGCTGGTCACAGGACTTTAGATGTGGCCTCACCCGTGCTGAATGAAAGAAGACTGAGGGAAGTGATTATTCCCCTTCAACACTCCTACTAATGCAACCCAGTATGCTACTAGTGTTCTTTGCAACAAGGACACACTGACTCATATTCAGTTTATTGTCCATTGTAACCCCCAGGTCCTCTTCTGCAGAGCTGCTGCTCAGCCAGTTGGTTCCCAGCCTGTACTTGTTCATGGGATTTTTCCATCCTAAGTGCAGGACTTTTTGCACTTGTCCTTGCTGAACCTCATGAGATTTCTTTTGGTCCAATCCTCCAATGTGGCAAGGTCTCTTACCCTTTTTTTATGCCAGAACTTCAGAGAACTATTTTAAAATGGATTTTTCCTTGAGTAGGTATGAAGAAGGCTTGTCCAGTAGCTTTAGGAAGATTCTGTTCCCAGGGTAACTTAAATTTGATACGAAGTATAAAGTAATGCTTCCTTTTTAGGAGCCAGGATATTTGACTTTGGTACCTTTTTCTCAGTACTTTGTGTTAGGAGTCAGAAATCAAGTCACTCACCCAATTTATCTTCATATTTATAATTAATATAAAAATCAAACCTGGTTGAAGATTCCCACATTAAGTTGCAGGATCACTTACTGGAAAAAGGATGGATTTGCAACTTATTGTTTGTTTGTTTTTGAGGTGGATGGGGCATGTCCATTGCTTAATCCCAGTACGTGATTTTTAAAAAGTTATCATCATTACTCTTGGCATAAGTACTTTAGACTCATTTTCCAATGCTTCCTATTCCTGTGGCAAAGCCATGAATTGGTATTTATGCATTGATGTGTAATCTCCTTTTGTGGTGGCCATCTACTCTGAAAAATATTTTGGGTGAAGATGACAGCTCAATTTATCTTGCGCTGATCCACTCATGATGCAAGTTAAATCAAACAGAATTTGGCCTGTAGGATCTTCATTTGTAGGAATGTATGAGACAGAAATATTCCTTCTTATTTTTAGGTTTTCAGGACTGGCAAAATAAGTTAGTGAGACGCAAATGTGAATTGTCACCTCTACATTGACTGGGGTATATCAGTTTGTATGGCATAGTTTCTTGAAATGTACCAGAATAAATATAGAATATTGCTGATAGTGCCTTAGAAAGTTCTTCAGTTGAAGAATGACGTTTTGGTATCTTATTTGTCCTATACTTGGCCAGTTCTAACATGTAAACATTCTTTGTCTTCACAGAAAAATGTTCATTGGAGGCCTTAGCTGGGACACTACAAAGAAAGATCTGAAGGACTACTTCTCAAAATTTGGTGAAGTTGTAGACTGCACTCTGAAGTTAGATCCTATCACAGGACGATCAAGAGGTTTTGGCTTTGTACTGTTTAAAGAATCTGAAAGTGTAGATAAGGTAGAGTATTCACATTTTTTTTTTTTGTCTACAAGAGCTATAGAAAGATACAACTTTGAGAAGTGTGGGGGGGGGTTGTTTTGTTTTTTGTTTGCCCCCCCCAACTTCTTAGATGACCTGTAGAACTCAAATGCAGGGAGCAGTATTTTTGGAAGTAATGTTTCAGGTTTGTTTGAAAGGTGCTGTATCATAGCATGTCATCCTTAAATGCTACAGTAATTGTAGCAATTGTACAAAAATATCTTGGATATCTGTTATTTTAGCCTGAATTGCTTACTAAGGACATTTGATCCTCACATGAGCTACATAGGTGGTGATATATAAACCATAGAAGAAAATCTGTTGATATTTTGGGGGTTTTTTTAACTTTCTTTAGAGTGTTATCTTAAAATAGGTCCTCTTTAATTATCTCATGTGGTTTAGAGCCATTGTGATTCTTAGAAGCTTTCTGGGAGGACATATGCAATAGGAAAAAAGGTCTATATTGTATATCTTCTGTTTTGGCTTTGCACAGTAAGTTACCCCATTCAAAAAATGTACTCCATAATTATGCCTTACTGTAAGGCTATGCTCCTTTGGTAAAAATAGTGATGATGACTTAAAAAATCTAGTTTTGAATTGTGGCTAAAACCAACATTTTTTTTGAACTTCAACTTTTCATAGGTGATGGACCAGAAAGAACACAAACTGAATGGAAAGGTGATTGATCCTAAAAGAGCTAAAGCCATGAAAACGAAAGAACCTGTTAAAAAGATTTTTGTTGGTGGCCTATCTCCAGACACACCTGAGGAGAAAATAAGGGAGTATTTTGGAGGTTTTGGGGAGGTAGGTAACAGTTGACTTAATCTAATTCCTTTTTAGGGGCTGTTGGCCTTGAAATTTTAAATTTGTCAGTGGCACTCTTCATGTGTGTTTCTAAATTATTGAGGCTAATGTTATTTGCCTGACAAGAACCTAGTCATAGTAGCTGAATTATTTTTAAATTGGCCTCATTCTCTTGCTCACTTCTCTGAAATAATTCAAGGGAGAAAAAATACTGCTCTTCTGTCTTTTAATACATGGTAAATATAGTATTGGCCAATCTAAGTTCCTGTAACATTTCTAATGCTGGTCTAAGTAGCTGTCTACTTTTACAGTAGCCTGGGAAATGGAAGCTTTCAGTTGCTGCCAGTGCAATAAATAAAATTGTAAGGGAACCTGGCTACCAAGTGATCATGCTATAATGCTATAACTTGGTTACAAACAGTTCAGTTTGCAATGTACCACTGACCATAATTGTCTTCACTAAAATTTGGACTTGTAATTTGGTTGAAGAGACATCTTGTAACTAGGTATGCTTATTTAGTGAATATTGTAAAATTGTTCTTGTAACATGGGTTTAGAAATATAATGGTTAATAAAAATATCAAGATGCTGAAAATTACAACTTCTCTATAGCAAAAATAGCTAAGTAGACTTCCTAAAAACATGAAACATTTGATATCTGTAGTTGTTCTAACAAGATTAAGGTCAAGTTGGAAGTAAGTTTCAGGTGCAGTATAAACATTCTTTGGGTACTGTGTTTATTCAGGTACTCTTATGAAGGAAGATAGATGCTTCTTTCCTAACTAGTGCTTTGATGTGCTGTAATGCCTTCCTATGAATTTGAATCCTTACTCCAAAAAACTGAGAAGTACGGTGAAGGAAATTCCCTTTTGTGATTATGTATTGGATAGATTTTAGTAAGTTCTTTCTGAACATAAACAAAAGATTGCATAACACAGTTTCTTTTGATGATGGCAAAAACGTCTAAAGTATATGTAGGCCATAGATGGATGGATGTATATGTAGCGCTACAAAAAGCGTATGTACAGATATGCATCCCACCCTTTGTGTGACTGAAATGTTTTTTTTAAAAATAGGAATTTCTCTGCAGTGGTATGTTTTTTGTTATGCCATTTCTAATGTTTGTAGAGTTGCATGTAGTGCTAAGGTTGGGGGGTCCCTTGCTCCCCCAGCATCTTACAGTGGCTCTGCTCTTCCATTATTCATCATCTTCCCCTCCAACTGGGGAGGAAGGGGGTGATAGAGACAGGTTTGAGGACAGCTGTGGCCACTGCCCATGCAGCCACCCTCTGGAAGGTGGCAAACTGTCAGAGCTCACTTTTTTGTTTTGGACTCCAGGGCTATAGTACATGTAGTGCTATAAATGTACACCTGGCCATGGAAATTTATTACTTGGCAAGCTGGTTAGCTTGTGTGAGTTTCATGAATGAAAATGTGATCATTTGATGTACAGAGTTGTTCAAATAAACTGAGGGGGGGTTTTGTTTGTTTTCTTACCACCAGGTGGAATCTATAGAGCTCCCCATGGACAACAAAACCAATAAAAGGCGTGGATTCTGCTTTATTACTTTTAAGGAGGAAGAACCAGTAAAGAAAATAATGGAAAAGAAATACCACAATGTTGGGCTCAGTAAGGTATGCTGAAACTTCTTAGTTAAGGAGTCCTACAACTGCTTAAAGTAACGGAGCAGATAACTTTCTATATGTGAATGTCCATAAATAGTTTCTTTAATTAGGGAGTAATATCCTGAGACTGTATAGGCTAGCCATGGTGAGGCATCTTTTTGGCCATATTGCTACAGAGGCAAAAAATGTTCTAGGAATCATGATGTGTGTTTAGGTACCTTTTTTTTTCCTGTGGACGCAGGATTCTAACTCCTTCACTTTTCTGTCTTCCTTGTTAAGTTTCTGGCTTCAAACACAATAGTCATCCTCTTCTTTCAGGGGCTTTGCAACAACATGTTTTCCCATGGCCCAGGATTCCCACTGGCAGGGCTTGCTGCACCATTTTTCCCTGCTAAACATAAGTGAGACTTCAAGCTGTCACTTCCTTTCTTGAAAGTTCCTGCATCTTTCAGAGGTGGTTACAATTCCATCAAGAATTCCCTTAGAATTTCTTCTCTGCAACCTTGCTTGCCCTTCTTACTCTGGGTATTGCCTAAGCTTTATCTGCACTTCTGGAATGGTTTACATTGCTTTATGCTGGCAGACTGCTATCACATACTTGCATCTTGGCTTAATTGTTCACAGACATGGGAAGTTTTCTTCGGGATAACCATTTAAGAACATGAGGGTGAAAATTTTATTAGAATGGTATTGAAGTGACAAAAAATTATTTAATTGGATGCTAAACTGCTGTAGTTTGGAAGCTCTGTCACTTGTGTGATTATTGATGATTGGGAATCTGGGTTTTCTACTTGCTACAAAAAAAAAAAAAAAGCAATTAAAACCTTGATTTTTCTCCTTTAAAGGAGGAAAAACAGAAAATGGTGGGTTTCCCCATGCAGGCTGGCAGAGTTCCAGCTTGCAGGGGGCTTGTGGGAGTGAGAGAAGGGTTATCAGCAGGGGGTACCAAGTGCATATGCACACATACACATGTGCATGGCCAGCCCACAGCCTGGAGAGCAGCTCCCATAGGTGAGTCGGGGTAGGGGTTGAAGCCCACGTGGTGAAGGACAGAGGGATCGGGGGCAGGGGTGTCTCTGCAGATTGGTGGGTGGGACCTGCAGTAGCACGGTGGCATGGGAAAGCTCATTACAGCCAACATGAGCCCTTTTCCACCCTGGTGAAGCACCCCCTGGCTGCTTTGCAGCAATGGCATGTGGTTGTGCCCTTGGCTGCTACCAGGCAGGCTGGGGGCACCTCACCATGGTGGTGCAGAGCTCCTAGTGATGGTAATGAGCTTCCCGTCCCCCCTCCCCACTCTGCCCTGCTGCACCAGATTCCATGTGCCGGGCTGCAGAGCCCAAGCCTGGCCATGCTGCCTGTGGGGAGCGGGGAGCTGGGCTTTATACTACTGTGATGCAGCAGCTGCTTCCTCCCCCATGCAGCAGCCTAGGCTCAGGTGGTTGCAGATCCCAGTTCCTGGCCTTGTAGCCCTGGCAGCTGGGGGCCCTCTGGCAGGGTTGGGGCAATGGCATGGGCAGGGCACTGGCATATCAAGGCTGCTCAGCCCCACAAAGTGGTAGTGGGGTGGAGTGGGGGGAAGCAGCCATAGCTGGACCCATGTCTCAGGCAGAGGGCAGGGGGAGCTCTGGTTTTTGGGTTGTTTTTTTTCCCCATAATAAACCCAAAGTCAAGTACCAAAGTGTATAGATATTTAGAATTTATTTCATTATAGTAATTGAAGCACTGGTTGGCTTCCAAATTGCTTTAAAATGGTAAATATATCAATAAAATTGTGCTCAACTGATAGAGGTGTGTGTATTATAGTATAAAAGTGTGTGGATGGTGGGGTTAACTAGAGAAGTTACGTGGGGTTTTGTTTTGTTTTTTGTTTTTTTGTTTTTTTTATCGAAGTCCGTGATTCTTAAACACGAAAAACCAGGATCCCTGTTGATTTTTGGAAGGAAAAAAATAAGTAAAAAATTAAATTTTGCGTGGTTCAGTATATAGGCTGAGAACTAAGTTGTACTCAGACTAAAATTGAGTAAAACTAAGGTTGCTTTCCAAACTCAGGTTTGTTTCCAGTATTCTAAGACTGAGGCAGGGGTGGGCAAGATGTGGCCTGCCAGGCCATTCTTTCCAGCCCACAGGGCCCTTAAAATTTAGAAAATACTAATATTTATCTGCCCCTGGCTGTCTGTCATGTGGCCCTTGATGGCTTGTCAAAACTCAGTAAGTGGCTCTCCCCAAAATAATTGCCTGCCCCTATTCTCAGGTTTGAAATTCAGGTGAAGAATGAAATGGAAACAATTCTTTGAGAGTTGTTGTCACTAGCAAAAATGATATCACTGTTTTTCCTTCTACAAATGTGTAGATTCACTGTTTAGGTTGCAGAAGCACCGGATTTTTATCCGGTACAGTTAACTTTAAATTCTCCACTCATCTCTTTTTTTTTTTATAACTCATTGGTTGCTTAAAATTTTTAAAGACTTTTTTTTTCTCTCATTAATAGATTCTGGCTCTGACCTTTTTCTCTCTTTTTTTTAGTGTGAAATAAAAGTAGCCATGTCAAAGGAACAATATCAGCAGCAGCAGCAGTGGGGAAGTAGAGGTGGATTTGTTGGACGAGCTCGCGGGAGAGGTGGTGGTAAGTTCATGCTTAACTTCGACCTGCTTGTTTTAGCATGAGATGAGTGTTTCAATATTCTCACATTTAGTAACTTATGCTGCAGGCCCCAGTCAAAACTGGAACCAGGGATATAGCAACTACTGGAATCAGGGGTATGGCAGCTATGGCTACAATAGTCAAGGGTATGGTGGCTATGGAGGATATGACTACACTGGTTACAACAACTACTATGGATACGGTGATTATAGCAGTAAGTACTAAAATTGTGTTATCCAACTTCTGCTTTTAAACTTCTGTTGTGAGCAGGGAGGGCATATAGCTCTGAGCATGCTAAAGAATTTAAATTGCCTTGAGTATGCAGCCAAAATCTTTTAATTTCTATCTCACCTACTTCTGTTATATGTGAGCCCTATGTTTTTGGGCTCATCTCAAGTAGTGTTGACATCTAGATTTGTCAACAGCAGTAGAGCATAAAGTGATGCTGACATGCACTTCTGGCTTTCAGGGTTTTTTTTTTTTTTTCAGTGGATTTTTTTTTTCTTCCCCCCTTGTGGGTTATGGCATCCCTGCTGACAAGCTGTGGAACTGTTTTGTATCCTCTCATACAGAGATTTCAGTGTGACATCACTTTACACACAAGGTAGTGCACCTCCAACTGTCTTAGCTTCTCTTTTTTGCCACAGGTAGCAAGTGGAACTAGCTTTCATGTCTTCAGGCTGGACTCTCCCTCGGCCTACTTTTAATTTTTGTCAGCTTCTAGAGTCAGATATAGCCTATTCAAATGCAGGTAGCTCTCTTTTGTCCCTCATTGGGATCATATTGGACCTTGGGT